AGCAAGTAGTTCACAAGACCCTATCTCAAAAAAACCCATCACAAAAAAGGGCTGGTGGAGTGGCTCAAGGTGTAGGCCTGGAGTTCAAACCCCACTACCAAAAAAAACAAACAAACAAACAAAAGTTTCAGCATTATTACCGAATAGGAAAAATAGTAGAAACATATGCAGATAGACCAAAGATGTTGGAATTAACAGGTATTTTAAACAGGTATGATAAATATGAGGATTTAAGTAAAAGATGGACATACTGAACAGATGAGGAATCTCAGTAAAGAAACTGAAGCTATTTAAAAAGAACGAAATGAAACCCTAGAATTGAAAGACACGATATTCAAAGATGACAGGCTTAACAGCAAAGTAGACACTTGACAAGAAAAACATGAGCAAAATTGAAAGGTGAATGGATGTGGAGATAGAATGATATCAACTATCTAAACTGAGGCACTGTGAGAAAAGCCAAAAAAGAACAGAGCCTCAACCTGTGGCTCATTCTCCACCACTCTATCATATGTGCATTGGAATCTCAGAAAGAGAAGTGAGGGAGGTTGGACCGGACACATTTGAAGAAGTAATAGGTGAGTAATTTCCAAATCAGATGAAAATACCAGCCCACAGAGCCACGAACCTCAGCAAACCCAAGCAGGATAACTTGAGAAAATCACCTCTAGACACATTATTGTCAATTTGTTGAAAACCAAAGACAAAAAGGGTATCTTGAAAGCAGACAGAAAAAAAGGCCATGGTAAGAAGCCATGGAAGCCAGACAATAAAAGGACATCTTTTAAATGTTGAAGAAAAGTTAGGCTAGTTGTGCCTGTAATCCTAGCTACACAGGAATCAGATCAGGAGGATTGAGGTTTGAAGCCAGCCTGGACTTCGAGAAACCCTATCTTGAAAATATCCAACACAAAAAAGGGCAGGTAGAATGCCTGCGTAGCAAGTGTGAGGCCCTGAACTCAAAACCCAGCACTGCCCAAAAAAAAGTTAAACTTGAATTTAAAGGAATTAATTTATTTTGAATTAAAAGTGAAGATGAAATAAATTCATCTTCAGATAAAAGCTTACCGAATGAGTCACTTGCAAACTTACACTATAAGAAATGCTAAAGGTGATGTTTGAGGGAAAATGATGACATGGAAAGTAGAAACAAACTGAACACTGTAAGTATACAACTTTTTTCATTTGTTAATGTTTTTAAAAGTTTGTTTAAAGCAAAAAATAGCATTCTATTGTGACTGTACATACAGTACATGGAACTTAAACAAAGTACATGGCTGCAGTATCACAAAGATGGAAATGTAAATGAAAGAATACCATCGTAAGACTCTTACATTGTGTGTAAAGTGGTGTAATAGTCATGGTAGATTGTGATAAGGATACATATTTCATTCAGATAAAACACTGGGAAAGAAAAGGAGGCATAACTAAAAAGGCAGTGACGGAAATGAAATGTAATATTAGAAATATATAATTCAAAGGAGGCACAAAATATGAAAAAGGGACAGAAGCATTTTAGATGAGTGGGAGGCTAGATTGTAGATTTAAACCCAGCTATATCAGTAATTGCATTAAATGTAAGAGAATACTCCCATAAAACAGAGATTGTCAGGCTGGATATAAAATCAAACACCCAACTAAACACTGTTTAATTATAAAAATGTACTTCAACACTTGCCTGGCAGATGAGGCCCTGGGTTCAATTCCCAGCACTACAGCAAATAAATAAATAAATAAATAGGGGTCAGGAATACTTTCTCAAAACTGAAAGAACTCAGAGGATATAGAGTGTGTGAGCTTTTCTAGAAAAATCTGATAACCAATAAAGGAGTGTATCAGGAGAAATAATTCAGAAGTGGAGAAACTCTTAGGAAGAAACTAGTGAGCAGAATGAATTAGAATGTAAATAATATAAACTTTTACAGCATAAAAACATAACTGTTGGGGCTGGGGGTGTAGCTCAGTGGAGGAGCACTTGCCTAGCATGTGCAAGGCTATGAGTTCAAACCCCAACACCACAAAACAACAAAACTGTATACATAAGCCTGGCATCAGTGGCTCACCCTTGTAATCCTAGCTACTTGGGAGGCTGAGATCAGGAGGATCACAGTTCAAGACCAGCTTGGACCAAAAAAGTTGACAAGACCTCATCTCAACCAATAACTGGATGTGGTGGTACACATCTGTCATCCTAGCAATGGCAGGAAGTATGAAATAGGAGAATCATGGTCCAGGCCAGCCTGAGCAAAAAGCAAGACCCTGTCTCCAAAATAACATAGCAGAAAGGGCTGGAGGCGTAGCTCAAGTCGTAGAGCACCTGCCTAGCAAGTGTAAAACCCTGAGTTCAAATCCCAGTACTGCAGAAAAATATTAAGAAAAACCTATTTATATGTTTATAGCACTTATTACTTGCCAAGCTCTTTGTAAGAATATATTTAAGCTTCCAACATAGGAAATAGATACTATTATTCTTATTTTACAGATGAGAAAAGCAGGTTTATAGGAGTTAAGTAACTTCTCCAAGGTCACACAGCCAGCAAGTAATGGAGCCAAGACTGGAGCCCCAGTTTTCTGGAGCTTTTACTATTCTCTGTGCTGTGCTGTTTCACTGAGCTGAACTAACATCACCCACAAAGCAGATGAGAGGAGAGATGGAAGTATGAGGTACAAACATCCTCCTCCTCCCGGCTTTATTTTGTTTTCTTGTTTATTTTTGTTTTGTTTTTGGTGAGACAGGAGTTTGAATTCAGGGCTTCCTGCTTGCATTTTTTTTTTTTTTTAAGACAAGGTCTAGCTATGTAGGCAAAGCTGGCACTGACCTCATGATTCTCCTGCCTCTGCCTCCCAAGTGCTGGGATTACAGATGTGAAACCACTATGCCTGGCATTCTTGCTTTTTATAGTTGTGATTTTGTAGTTGTGAGATAGTATTCTGCCTAAAATTTAAAATCAGTGATTCTAACCTTTGAATATTTTCTTTCTAATCTCTTCATAACTTTAGAGGCTTATTTAGGAAACTTCCCTATATGGATATTTCTTAGTTAATGAATTTGTTATTAATTAGTAATTAATTTGAACAGGAACAGTTCCCTTAGTTTCGCTTCATTCCCTTCTGACCCCCTCGCCCCCACACTAGGGTTTGAATTCAAGGCCTCATGGTTGCTAGGCAGGCACTGCACCACTTATAGCTGGGATGACAGGCATGAGACACCATGGCCAGCTTATTTGTTGAGATGGGGGTCTTGCTAACTTTGCTCAGACAGGCCTCCTACCTCCCTCTTCCTAATCTGCACTGCCAGGGTAGCTGGAAATACAAGCATGAACCACCTCACCTGGCTCAGTTTGTTTTCAGCCTGACAAATTCATGTAAAATCAAAGTTAAATTTCTATTTACAAATAGTATATGTGGGCTCAAGGCATGGCTCAAGTGGCAAGGTCAGTATTGTTCCAAAAAGCCAAAAGCAAATTAAACAAAAGAAAAACCAAATAGTGTATGTGATCCAGCTTTTCAAAGTACTTCTGTTTGTTATACATTAGGCCAGCTAGCATTTAATCTCAACAAATGCCATAACGATGCCTGGAATGGTGCTGGCTTAATGATAATTGCAGGTGGTAGATTTGAAGTGATTACTTTTTTTAAGGAATAATGTTGAAATGTTTATATTTTTCGAGAATGAGTGACTTGAAATTTTGCATATAAAATTGTTTTAAAAATGAACCCTGTCACCACCTCTGCTTAAGTAAATTACTTATTAGTAGTTTCTCCTTGCTTGCAGGTAGGGCTCTAGCACTAGAGTGCCTGCTTTGTAAGTGTGAAGCCCTGAGTTCAGACTCCCAGTCCTGAATATGACCCACCAGACCTGGCAAGATCTGGCAACTGCCTGCCTCTCCAGCTTCCCTCCTTCAGTGGCTTCTGGGTTCTAGCCAGAATGACTCTTTTTCTTTTTGTACCGTTCTCCCCTGCCTGGAAAATCCTTCGTTTTACAGTACAAAGTCACTTTTGGTGTTTTGGTTTTTTTTTTTAAACAGGGCCTCAGTATGTAGCCCAGGCTAGCCTTGAACTCGAGATCCTCCTACCTCAGTCTCCTAAGTGCTGGGAGGCCTGACCACTGTCCCCAGCTCAAATATCGATTCTTTAAGGGAGCTTTCTTTGACCTCACCCCCATGTCTAGGTCAGGGCCCTGGCACATTCTCATAGCACCCTGTACTTCTCCTCCATACCCTTGTCACACATATCCTCACACGTTTATTTGTATTTTGTCTAATACATCTTATTAGACCATAAAATCCACAAGCATAGAACAGTGTCTGTTATCCAGGACTTAGCACAGTAGTTGGCAAATAATAGACATTTGTTACAATTGTCTCTTTAGAAATTAGTTCTGGGATCCCTGAAGTTATCAGAATTCTTGGATGCTTAAGTCCCCTGATAATAAAATGTCATAAAGCGTATACATATTCCCCCATATGTTTTAAGTCATGTCTAGATTCCTGAGGATACCTAATATAGTGTGATGATAATGTAAATAGTCATTATACCATGGATGGTTCTGAGAATAATGACAAGGAAAGAAGTCCATACACATTTAGTATAGACACAGTATTTTTCCTGAATATTTGCAATCCATGCTTGTTTGAATCTCAGATACTGGCTGGTCTGATGCAGTGGGGTTTATAGCCAGTTGAATCTGCAGATGCAGAACCCATGGCTGTGGAGGGCCAACTGTATATTTAAATTAATGAACATTTAGTTAAACATAAAATGCTGTGCTCACTGTAATTCCATGATGTAGCTACTATCATTCCTAATTTTCACCTCTTTAGCTGTATGGGCCTCCTTATAAGATAACATTGAACAAAAGACTCCATGGCTAAAAAAGTTGGAATGTCTGTGCACCAAACCTGGCTGCCTTCTTTTCATGTTCTTAGGTCAGAGGACTTTATTCAGGAATTACCCCTAACTTTGACCTTAGACAAATAGTTTCTTCCCTATCCTTGCAGGTGGACTGACCCAGGACCTGAAAGCTGCCTCCAGCTGCTTTCTGATGGCATGTGAGAAGCCTGGAAAGAAATCTGTGGAAGCCTGTCATAATGTTGGTCTCCTGGCCCATGATGGACAGGTCAATGAGGATGGCCAGCCTGACCTGGCGAAGGCCAGGGACTACTACACACGGGCCTGCGATGGCAGCTATGCTTCTAGCTGCTTCAACCTCAGCGCCATGTTCCTACAGGGTGCCCCTGGCTTTCCCAAGGACATGGGCCTGGCATGCAAATACTCAGTGAAAGCCTGTGACCTTGGCCACATCTGGGCCTGTGCCAATGCCAGCCGCATGTACAAGCTGGGGGATGGTGTTGATAAGGACGAGGCAAAGGCTGAGGTGCTGAAAAATCGGGCCCGGCAGCTACACAAAGAACAGCAGAAAAGTGTCCAGCCCTTAACATTTGGGTAGTGTGGCCCAGCCTCCCTCCCAGGCAACAGCTCGAGGCTGGCACCTCCTGTCTCTGAGACCTGATACAGTCCTTGAAGGTCAGCCTGCTGGAGCAGGAACACTTGGTACTTAATAGCTCTGGTTACATAGATCCATTTGCCCCAGAGTGTCACCTGCTGGGATGTGGCCTGCAATGTGTATTTCAGTCAGTAATCATTTGTCTGGGTACGTTCTATAAAGACACTCACACTTACGGGGTCTTAGTTTTCACACTTGGAGCTCTGTGAAAACTAGAGAGCCATAGAGTTAAAAAAACAAATTAGCCACAAGGCTTGAAGAAGTCAGCCATCTCCATCTCAGTATCACTTTAGTTCAAAGAACTTGAAAATCAGTAGTATCCCAATTTACATAATAATCGAGGTCCTAAGGAGCTAAGAACAGTGAAATACCACGACTGCCACCCTCTGACTTACGTAGTCGCTGGTGTGGGCTTCCTTTTTGCCTTTAGAGTCAGATCTCAGTAAGTTCATAGATCAGGAGGGACTTGCAACAAAGGTTAAAGGTTGCGCCTCAGTTGCTGAAGAAGTGGAACCAAGCCTGCCTTCCTCTACAAGAGATACTCACAGTTAAAAGTTAACCTCCATGGTACTCTCCTAACACTGCTCCTCATGCTGCTGAGGGGGCTCATTATTCCCGGAACAGCTCCAGCAAGGATTTTGTGATACATTTTGCCCACCGGAACTGAACCTTTTGCCACAGCCTCTCAAGTGCTGGGATTACAGGTGTGTGTCATCACACCTGGAAGAACTGAACTTTTTGAACTATCCCTGTAAATAAACTATTTTGACTGATTCATAGTCTGTGGTGGTAGTGTTCTCTCCATATCCCAGGTATTCCAGTATATTCATAGCAGTGGTACCTTTAAGAACATTTGCTTTGTCTGTTATCCCCAGTTTGTCACCAGGGGGCGACCTTGTCATTTTTCTGCTGTAACAAAACCATTGTTCTACCACTCCCACTTTTACAGATGTCCTAGGTCTACCCTGTGAAGGGTTGTAAGCACAGCAGGCTAGATTCTCAAATTGATAGAGGACTGGGATTTTCTCAAGTGTAGAGAGAGGTTTTAAAAGACATGGGATTCATTTTTAACATGTAAAGTACCTGGGCACCAGTGGCTCATGCCTGTAATCCTAGCTATTCAGGAGGCAGAGATCAGGAGGATCTTTGTTTGAAATTGCCCAGGCAAATAGTTTCTGAGACCCTGTCTCAGAAAACTCAACACAAAGAAGGGCTGGTGGAGTGGCTCAAGTGGTAGAGCACCTGCCTGGCAAGTACAAGGCTTGGAGTTCAAGCCCAGTACCACCCATAAAATGTAAAGTTGCTTTTGGTGTACTTAAACTCTGCAAGTTGCACATGAAAAGATTCTCAATGTTGCTAGTAGGGAATTACAAGTCAAAATTTCAATGACTTTTTTTTTTTTTTGAGACAGAATCATGTAGCCCAGGCTGTCCTCAAACTCACGATTCTCTTGCCTCAGTCTCCTGAGTACTGGGATTACAGGTGCTTGCCAGCATGTCCAGCCACAGTGAACTCTTAAAACTCAACCAGCAGAAAACAAACAACTTGATTAGAAAATGGGCCAAAGACCTTGCTAGATACCTCACTAAATAGGGTAACACGAATGGGAAATAAGCATATGAAAAGATACTCCGTATAAGGTGTAATGAAGAAAGTGCAGTTTAAAACATAGCCCACTAAAAAGTTCCTAGAATGGTCAAATCACACTGACAACATCAAATGCTGCTTCTGATAGGGAGCAACAGGATCTCATTCACTGCTTGTGACATGCGAGGTGATACAGCCCTCTGAAAGACAGGTTAGCAGTCTCAACAGAACTAAACACTGTCCCAGCAATCTTGCTCTTGGCATTTACCCAAATGAATTGAGAACATGTCCCAACAAAAACCAGCATGTGGATATCTGTAGTTTTATTTGTAATTGCCCAAACTTGAAAGCAACCACGAAGGCCTTTGGTAGATGGAAGGATTAAACAAACTCATACATTCAGACAATGGAATATTAAGCACTTAAGAAGATAGGAGTTAGCAAGCCACAAAAAGATGTGGAGGAAAGTGATTAAGAAGCCACATTGAAGCTGAGTGCTGGAGGCTCACGCCTGTAATCCTAGCTACTCAGGAGGCAGAGATCAAGAGGATCACAGTTCAAAATCAACCCCAGGCAAATAGTTCATGAGACCCTATCTCAAAACAACCCATCACGCAAAAGGGTTGGTAGAGTGGCCCCTGAGTTCAAACCCCAGTACCACAAAAAAAAAAAAAAAAAAAAAAACCCACACACTGAGAAGGTTACATTCTAGGTGATTCCAACTATATGATACCGGTATCTCTTCTGGAAAAGGCAAACCAGAGACACTAAAAAGATCGGGGATTAGGGGCTGGTGATGTGGCTCAGTGGTAGTGCATTTGCCTAGCATGCCCGAGGTTTTGTTTTTTAATTGGGTTAAATGGGAATGGGGAGGATAAACAGAGAATTTTTAGGGTAGTGAAACTACTGTGTATGAAACTCTTGAACAGTGGATACATGCCACCATTAACACGCCATTACCATAACCTAGTGTTACCTGTAGACTTGGGTAATGATGTGTCAGTATAGGTTCCTCGAGTTATAACAAATGTACCATTCTGGTGGGAGATGTCTTTAATAGGGAGACTGCTATTCATGTGTGAGAACCATACCTTCTGCTCAGTTTTGCTGTGAGCCTAATACCTCTAAAGAAGTCTATTCAAAACAAAATTGCAAGGACTGATGGAGTGGCTCAAGTGGTACAGAGCCTGCCTACCAATGGTGAGGCCCTGAATTCAAACCTTTCTACTGCCAAAAAATACATAAGTAAATGTAAAGTTTGAAGTTTTTATTATTAAAGTAGTGTCTTTATGAAATGAAATTTGGAATGTAGCAAAAGAATCTATTACCCCTCATTTTTATTAGTTTATAGTAGTTATACAGGGAGTTTGCTGTGACATTTTCACACATATGTACAATGTATGTACCCTGGTTTGGCTCATCCCCTCAATTACTCTCCCTTTTCCCCCTCCCCTATTTAATTTTCTTTTTTTGTTTGTTTTAATAATCACGTCTTTTCAATTAAATAATGGGTTTTGTGATTCTGAACACTTGGTTATTTATTTGGTTGTTGGGAGGCAGATGTACTAAATTACTTTTTTATGGAGTAGCTCCTGCCCGGGACCTCTGTTTCCTCATTCCGGAGTCGCATGCTGAGTGGAGCAGGGAACAATGGAGCAGTAACTCAAAATGTTTTGGGCCAGCTGTGGATGGTGAATCCCATAGGCTGAGGCAGGGGGATCTTGAGATTGAGGCCAGCCTCAGGTACATAGAGAGACCCTGTTTCAAATCAAAACAAAAAGTTCTGTTTCAGCAAAGCTACTAAAATGCAAAGAATAATTATTTACTGCTGAGAGAAGTCCAGGCCTTTTCATACACAGGCTGCTGTGGGAGGGAGGCTGAGGAAAAGCAGCATGGAAGAGTGCCCCGCTTTTGTGCAGCCTTTGCAGCAAGGTTTGAAGATGGCTTTAGACTCTGGACAGAGCAAGCAGCCTCACTGGGCCTCCTGGTCAGCAGGCACCTGAATCATCATTAGCAACTGCTTCCTGCATCTTTCCTTCATTCCAGGCAATTTAGAGATGGTGTGACAGCGAAGGGGTAGAAGATGCACAACTAATGGTTTGTGTTCTCTACAATCTGAGTACAGTGCGTGAATGCTGTGAGATAGGCAGGAAATCTCTGCTCCTTCTGGATTTAGATTTTATCTTATAAGCAATGCAGAGTTTTGAGTAGGACAATGAAATGATCACATCTGAAACCAGGAGGATAGTCCCAGTGCAGAGAATGAATTAGAAGGGAAAAGACTGGAGGCAGGGAGACAAACCAGTTAGGAGACTGCTACAAAATGTCAGTGTGGGCAGCCAGGCATGGTGGTACACATCTATAATCCCAGCACTCAAGAAGCTGAGTTCAGAGCCAGCCTGGGCCATGTAGCAAGACTCTGTCTCAAAAAAAAAAAAAATCTGTGCATGCTGTCTCAAGCCTATAATCCTAGCTACTTACGGGGCAGAGATCAGGAGGCTACAGGTTCCAGGCCAGCCCAGAACAAAAGTTAGCAAGATCCCATCTCAACCAACAAGCTGGTGTGCTATTAAATACCTGTAGTCCCAGCTACTTGGGAGGCTGTAGGTAGGAGGACTGGTCCTGGGCAAAAGCTCCAAACCCTATCTGGAAAAATAAAGCAGAAAAGGACTGGGAGCATGGCTCAAGTGGTAGAGCCCTTGCCTAACAAGCAGGAATCCCTGAGTTCAAACCCCAGTACAGTCTTAAAACAAACAAACAAACAAAAAAAAACATGAAAGAATCACTTTGGGGGGAAATGGAAACTTTTTTGGCTTCCTAGCATTCATTTTGCAGTTTAGATCTCTTGTTTTGAATTCTACATTAGGGTTAGTGGTGGTTGGGGGGAACTAGACACTCCAGTTCTTGGTTGTAAATTTCATAACCTTGCTTCTAACCTTTGTTATGCGTTTTATTGGCTGCATGACTTACCTTGGGCAAGTTACCCAACCTTTTATGTTTGGGTTTTGTTACCTCTCAGATGGGGATAACAAACCTTTCTAACAGATTCTTAGAGGGATTAAGTAGTAGCCCTTACAGGATGATACGTTTGTTTGTTTGTTTGTTTTTCATTTGTTTGTTTTTGATGGGGGTGTTAAGACAAGGTCTTGCTAAATTGCCAGGCTGGCCTCAAACTTGCAATCCTTCTGCCTCAGCCTCCTGAGTGCTCAAATTACAGGTGTGCACCAACATGTCCAGCTGGACTGACAGATTTTTATGAGAAAAGATTTTACAGTTACATTATTTTCTCTCCATGTGACATGATTAGCTTGAGAGGGAGTCTAGCTTTTAAAACAGGCTGCCTCTGTGGCTGTTCTTTTAATATCTGGGGAGTTAACTGGGGCAGGGAAGTTGCTTTCTGGGGGTATTGATGGCACAAAACAGCTGCACGAGGCAGGCCTGGGACCCCTCCCCCTTCTGCTTTCTCTGCTGTCTGAGTGCAGAAGCCTTCCACCTGCTAGGGGCCCAGAGTGGAAGCTGTTCCCAGCTGGTGCCCCTCCCGGGCATGAGGGATGATGATTGTATTACAGTTTATAAATCAGGCCTCCCTGCGGTCTAAAGGGGAAAGGCCAACATTCTTGGCCCCACATACAAGTCCCCCTGCCCCCGTGACATCCCTGCCTCCATATTTAGCCTCATCTTGCTCCTAACTTAGGCTTCTGCATTGGGGACTCCTGGAGAAGAGATTTTACACACACACACACACACACGCAGTGACTATGGATGGTGATAGGTGTGTGTGTCAATTAACCTGTGGTAATAAGTACATAATGTATACGTATATCAAATCACATTGTACCTTGAATACTTTTTATATATCAATTTAATATTTAAAAAGAAAAGGAAAAGGACCAACAAAATACCAAGCCGCCACACCTTTGCTGATGCTGGCCTCTGTCCCTGGCCTACCCTTTTCCCTGTTCCCTTCCTATTTTAAGTCTCTGGGAGCCTCCCCTCAAACACCGGGCTGTGACAGGGGCTTTGTGTGTCCACACAAGCCTGTAGCTTCTTCCTTCACAGCACCCATCACACCGTGCTAACCCCGGGTACATTATGGCCTCTACTTCTCACGAGACTGGAAACAGTGACTTGGTTGACTCCATGTTTACTTTGGTGTCCAGAGAGAGGCTGGGCACAT